ACGTGTCAGTGTGTACCAACTCCAATTATCCTTTATGTCTATTTCATCTGGCTGATTAAGCCCTAAGAGTTATCTATCCTTCAAAACAGGGTTCACAAGTTTGGTTTAGGCTCCTCTGCCTCACTAGGTAATTAACCTTCTTTGACCAATCTTTGAATCTCATTTTGACTGATTACAACCCCAAAATAGACACTAAAAATACAATGAGTCAGGAATAACAATTTTTCTCTTAACATTCAATCTAGAAGATGCAACATTAGTTTCTACATTCTGAAAATCTTAAGAGTTTGTGATTATAGTATATTAACCATCTTTTAATGCACCAGAACTAATCGTATATCTATTCAATTTTATAAAACCAGTTTTACAAAATAACAACACAGTTTTTATAAACTACAAGTGAAACAAGAATAAGATAGCGTCTAACATCTGTGTATAAAGATAGTTCTCTAATACTAATATCCTCAGACTCTCTAATTTCAGATGTAATACTCCCACTGACTTAGTTACAACCTTGACATCAGTTCAAGTACAAATATATTCCATATCATCGAGGCTTCTAGATTCCTGAAATCCTTGCAACGAATTGCAAAAATGTTTAATGGCTCCAAAATCTATCCATCAGGAATTAATAAATACAACCACATAACATGGCTCAATGATTAAATATATATTTTTCTATATCACGTCATTGCTTAGACAGTTCGTCCTTTAGTGTCTTCGTTAGCAGCAAAAGAAACAATTTAATTTGCCCTCAACATACACTGCCTTATTCCATTTAACCTTTTGGATACCCATGTTTTGTGCTAGCCTAGTCCTATTATCATCCTTCTTCTTTGCTTTGCCCGTCCACTTGGGCCTAGAAGAAGATGGTATAGACTAGGTTAGATTGATAGGAACGCCTATACTCTTGATTATCCCTTCATCTGTTACCAATTCTATAAGAATATCAGTGAGTGTGAACTCAAACTGATTCCTTATTTAATTCACTCTAACAGAATCGAACGAGTTTGGTAACAAGGCAATAATCATGTCAACTTGAAACTTACCACTCAAGTCAGCCCTATTGATCTCCAGCTAATTTTTAAATAATAAATAATCATTTTCCAAAATTCGATTTCATACTGGAGTTCCTTAGGCTATCTTGATGCTATTCAAGTCTGATATAGTACTTTGGCATACTCTCTATCTAATCTCACCAAAACATCTTATTGACATTTAACATGATACTTGAAGAAAATAAAATAATGTAAATGTTAGCTTTGGAGCGTATTCGAGATAAACTCTAGAATATTGCATCAATTCATCTCATTTGCCTTATTTCACTTATTCAAAACATTAATGTTCTCTTGGGTATCTTAAAGTAAAAGGATTAGGTTTAGGAGTAGTAAATACATTTGTACCCTTACGTTGTGAATAAAATATCTAAGTTCCTTTCCCAGTCAATATTAATGAGATCCAGTTACATTGAATATGTAAGCAAGCAGATAAACTGGACTAGACATAATTAATCTGAATATAAATGCATTCATACAATATGCAAGGTGAATTATTAATACTGTCATGCATATTTAAAATTAAAATGAGTTTATTAACCACATAATATAATAAATCTCAATCGAACAAGAGATCATTATCATTATTGGTGAACAATTCCTTTTAATTAATGCGGGTCCCTCAACTCTGTAGCATAATAAATCAACCAATCAATATGTCAATAACTTATCCTGTTGGAGGAGTTCATTATTACTATTGTAGAGATTCATTTGCTATTAGGTAAGCACTTCCATTAAAATAATAATATGTAGGTCCCTTAACCACTGCATGAAAAATCGGATAACCAATACGCCAATAACTTATTCGGTTGGCGAAGTTCATTATTGCTATTGGCGGGCAAATCCCATCATCTCCATATCTCTTAAGACAATGCCTTGTCTATCTATATGAAATGATTTCCGATTATATTTAGCCTTTCTAAAATCACCTAGTATAGACCACTCCATTGGGGAGCTAACACTATTGATTTTAGATTGAGTATATAACATTATTAAAGCTCTAATGAAAAATAAAATATTAAATATCTTGTCATTATAATCTAGACTCTTTAAATCATGCGTAGAGCCTTATTTTTAAAGATTTAATTACAATGAACATTTAATATTTTTATTTTCATGAGACAACCATTATTGTAATATTAAGACTCTTCAAATCATGCGTGGGGCCTTATTTTTGAAGATTTAATTATAATGGTGTTAATAACGAAGGTCATAGGGCAATGTATAAAAATCCCTGCTCCCACTCAATTTTTTATAATCATTCATAATTAGGGTTTTCATTTTATTCAAATACATGATATGATGCATGCTAAACATCTTGATTTTAATCCAATTAAATTTAGAAAATATTTGGACTTTAAATGATTCACTAATATTTAATTTGAAGCACACTTTAAAAATAATTTACAAAAATAATTTTTCGTTTCCCAATAAGTGCCCTCAAATTAATTTGTAATCAGATCCACTTAATTTTCATAATTTAATTAATATAAATCAAGTCATTCAATTAAATATCATGAATCCATTGCATGAATAATAATTAATCAACAATTATCTATTACATGCATCACATACATCAATAAATGACAGATAAAGCAAATAAAAACGGCCAATGGAATCAGCTTTTAACATTTAATTGCTCTACTATTGCGCGAGGGTCCTCCAACGACTTGTAAACACCTATAGGAAGCTGGTACGCGTCTGGAGAAGCAAAAAGCCGCTTGGAACGCGCCTGGAGGGCCCCACACGCGCTTGCACGCGCCTGGGGCATGCTGCAGGTGAAGGCACGCGCCCCTACGCGCTGGCACGCGCCTAGGGCGCGTGAGACGCACCTCTACGCGCCTGCACGCGCGTGGAGGGAAAGTGGATTTGGCTGGCGCGTGAGACCCACGCGCCAACATGTCTTCAATGCCTCCAACTCCTGGCGCGTGCTCTTCACGCGCCAGGCTCACCACCATAGAGCTGCATTTGATTCTAGCCTCCTCCGACGTCTTTTCTCGCCGCCAGAGATGCTCCGCCCACAGGAAAAACGCCGAAAAATTCCAGAAAAATAAGAAAAAAATCCCAGAAAATTAAATTAAGCCTCAAAAAATTTCAAAAAATTACTGAAGTATAATTTAACCCTTTCGGACCCTCTTGAAGCTTCATAGCATCCTTTGATGAATATTACATGACTTTAAATAAATTTACAATTTGAAATACAATGGAAAAAATTAAATTACATCATTGAAGTTTCGAACGGCTAAATCAAAGCCTTAATTACATTTATCCAAAGATAAAATTACATTCGAAAACCTATAAGCTTCATCCATGGCCCAAACACACATCATCATCCATTCACAATTATACATACATCATCATGTATCAATATATTAAATCATACATCAATATATATATATAATTTGGATCCATGATGATGATTTTGATAAAAACATGATCTCTAGTAATTAATCAAACCATGCTCTGATACCACTGTTGGGAAATGTGCAATATTAAAAAACTTTTCGAGAGATTTAAATTCATAGATCTTGATTCATCACATAGAGACAAGTTTTATACAAAAATAAAACATGATGTATCATTCAATTAAAAGATTGAATACTTACATCAAGGTTTGAGTAAACCTTAGATCTCTCCTCTAAAGTGAACGTTCTCACTTATTATAGATCCCTTTTGCTAGACACCTTTTCCATGGATCTCCATCTTCTTGGTAATGGTCTTACCTTTAGGAATCACTCATAAGCCTCCATGAATGACCTTGGAAAATTAGGCTTGTGGGAGCCTCCATTAGATGAGAACACTAACCCTAATTTTCTAGAGAGAGAAAATTTATTCTTTTTTTTTCTTCTTCCAAAAAAAATCACCCTAAAATATTCATAAACCATGTATATTTATAGGCAACATAAAGGTAAAGAAAATGAAACAACAAATCATTCTCAATCTCTAATTCACATGTCTCAAATCTAATATGATTCCAATATTAAGTTGGGCTATGAGTGAGAATCCATTGGGCCTATTATTTTATTGGCTACAATGAATTAATATTTGGCCCGGTCCATTGATTCAATTCAATTAATTCATAAATTAATTTCTACTCCACTGAAAGAAATTAATTGAACTCCAATTAACTAATAAATAACCACTAAGTCAATATTACACTTTGACCCCTCTATGCATAATTAGTTATCGTATAAATAAAGCCATCAATTCGACTACTTAATTAATATATTTATTTTGGTACCATTGATTATTTCTGACTCGATCACAATAAAAACATTTGTTTGACAAAAATAATAATTTAAATAAATAAATATATAATAAATCATTTTGTCTAAAAACATACGAAGGCCTTCGAATTTACTTTGTGATCAACCATAATCAATACAAAATAAATACAAGTAGCAATGATGCAAATATTAAAAATATAACCCTCTAACTATTAATTACATAACTACCCAAAGTGTCGGTCTAAGGATCCCGAAGAATCCGCCGAACAAATCAAAGTAATTATTAATTCAAAAAATAATTTATAATTTTATCATGCTTAAGAGTCAAATGCTATAACGGTGATAGGGAGCAATTGCATACGACGGCTCTCGCAATATATCTCAACCTAACGCGGATCCAGTTCAACTCTTAATCAATTATGAGTCCATCCATAATTACCGACTATGAACCATTTATGATTATTATTTATATTCATGTATTGATCGCCATCACATACATATATAAATATCTCTTATAATCAAGTGGATACTATCAATTCTATAATGAATCGAAACATAATACATTGAATTCACCAATTATATAAAATATAAATATTTCAGAAACGTAAGGAACTTATGTCACTTTAATTCAAATAGAAATTTGCTATGACAGGGCATATAAATCCCAACACCCACATCAATAGCCACCCCTAACGTGTATCACATTGTATACATAAACATGACCAATGTAGGTCTCAAAGCATAGTCTCTCATCACCACTAAGGTCTCAAAGCATAGTCTCTCATCACTAGTAACACTATCCATTATTAATTTCCTTTTCCTCCACACAAAGCTAGTAAATCATACTCCATGGATTGCACTAGTGAAGCAGTGGCTGGTGATGGGCAAGTGGTTCAGCACGATATGAAGGCTGAAGCTTTCAACATGACACATCAAAGCTCCGAAAGGCGATCCGCCAACTACAAGCCAAATATTTGGGAATATGAATTTCTTCAGTCTCTCGAAAGTAAATACACCATGAGATTGCTAACTTAAATTAATCTTGAATCATATAGGACATTCGTTTGTATTAATTCCATTTTTTTTTTCTTTTTCGTTGTTGTTGTGGTAAGTATTAAGTATTCAAATACATTTTTTCCACACCGGGCTCGACTTCTCCCCTCCTCTTTCTAGATGGAGAGGTTAAGCCTTATGGGTTGAGGAATATATTCAACAAACATTAATTTTGACATTAATTTTACACATAGTGAACTTTCGTGTAATTCTTTCGTCATGCCTGAGCATGTGGCCGGAACCGTTTAAAGGAACTTGCATTGTAAGATAATAGTAACATTTTTATTTGTTATTTCAGGATGAGAAATATAATGCACACGTGGAGAAGCAGAAAGAGGAAGTTAAGATTATGTTTGTTGAAGCATTGGACGAAGTGGCTAAGTTGGAACTAATAGACAGAATAGAAAAACTTGGTTTGGCTTACCTATTTGAGGAGGAAATCAAAGAAGCCCTAGACAACATAGTATCCAAAAGTCCAAGTGTAGAGGACGACCTCAATGCTACTGCACTATGCTTTAGGCTCCTCAGGCAGCATGGCTACAGCGTTTCTCAAGGTGAGCAAATGAATTTACTTCTAAATTTACAGTAAAAATCTCATAGAATATATCTTTCCATGTAATAAGTATATAGTAACTTTGAAGAACATGTTTTGAAACTCAGATATGTTCAGAGGGTTCGTGGACGAGAAGGGTGCGTTCATGAAAGGAACACATGCACAATTTGATGATAAAGCAATGCTCGAGCTTTTTGATGCCTCAAATCTAGGCTTCGAAGGTGAAAACATATTGGATGATGCTAATGCTTTCTCTAGTGAAGTTGTCAAGAGTACGATCAGTACGTCAAACATAGAGCTTCCATTAAACTGGAGAGTGCAGTGGTACAATGTCAGGAGGCAGATAATTGCGCTTGAGAAAGAGGATAAAACAAATCCCATCTTGCTTGAACTGGCAAAATTTAACTTCAACATGGTTCAAGCCATACACCAAAAAGATCTTGGCGTGATAACTAGGTAATGACAAATGAACCTCACATGCAATAATCCGATACAGCTGCACACACACACACACAAAACAAAACCAAAAGTGAGAGATTAATATCTTGATATTTGTTTCATAATTCAGGAGGTGGAGGAATCTTGGTCTGGCAGAAAATCTGAAGTTTACTAGGGACCGAGTTGTTGAAAGTTATCTGTGGGCAGTGGGAGTTGCTTTCGACCCTCAGTTTGGAAATTTTAGAAAATGGTTAACCAAAGCCATTACTTTTATCATAGTTATTGATGATGTTTACGATGTCTATGGTTCACTGGAAGAACTAGAGTGCTTCACTAATGCAGTCGATAGGTCAGTATCTGCATAGGAAAAGTGATCAAAGGAAATCAACCTTATATAAGAAAAACAAAAAAGGGTGAATAATATTTAGGGTTTCAGTTTTCGTTTCTAAAAATTGTGCTTGCTTGGTTTATCTTGCTTATTTTGTCACTTTGAAAGTAATCAAAAAAATGTTCTCAAATAATTATAAAAGTCAGTTATATGTAAACACGTTTTTTTTTTTTTTAAATGGTTAACCAAAGCCATTACTTTTATCATTGTTATTGATGATGTTTACGATGTCAATGGTTCACTGGAAGAACTAGAGTGCTTCATTAATGCAGTAGATAGGTCAGTATCTGCATAGGAATAGTGATCAAAGGAAATCAACCTTATATAAGAAAAACAAAAAGGGTAAATAATATTTAGGGTTTCAGTTTTCGTTTCTAAAAATTGTGCTTGCTTGGTTTATCTTGCTTATTTTGTCACTTTGAAAGTAATCAAAAAAATGTTCTCAAATAATTATAAAAGTCAGTTATATGTAAACACTTTTTTTTTTTTTTTTTAACTGAGTATTTAGAAAAAAAACTTTCAATGTACCAAACAATTTTTTATATAGTTTTTTAATTTTTAATTCTCAAAGAACAGAAAATTGTTCTCCAAATATCGAACCAAGCAAACCCTTAATCTAAAATCTGTACGAAAATTTTGCCTTGCTTCGATTTTCTAAGAACAATATGAGAACTGAAAATCAGAAAGCTGTACAAACAATTTTTGAAAACTCAGTTAAAAAAAAAAAAAAAAAAAAGAAAAAAAAAACAAACTTGGCCTATTAGGTTTATCACTCATAAAACAATTCTCGAGAACTCAGAAAATTATTTTCAAAAAACTTTAAAAGACAGTTCTCGACTTTTTTATAATTGAGTTTTGTAAAAATTGAACCAAACAGAGTTTTACTGAAAATTATAAAATTGTTTTATGAGTGGCAAACCAAGCAGACCAATTTTCAGAGTACTGTTTTTTTATAGCTATCTAAAAACAATTTTCTGAGTAATAAACCAAGCAGGTCCTTAGTTTATAATTTTTGACAACTTTTTTTTTTTTTTGAAAACTCAATTTAAAAAAGGCATGTTTTTTGTTTTTTTTTTTTTTTTTTTTTTGAATGGCAAAAAAGGCATGTTTTCAAATATCAATATCCTAATTGATTTTTAAATTTCAGGTGGGATACCAAGGAGGTTCAATGCCTTCCGGAATGTATGAAGATTTGCTTTGAAGCACTCTATAATACCACCAATGAAGTTGCTAATGAAATTAAGAAAGAGAGGGGTTGGAACTCAGTATTGCCTCATTTACAGAAAGTGGTATACCACTTGATCATGACTACTATTTATTTGTCATATATATACTAACATTTAGTTATATATAGCTCTCATTATTAGCTAGGTAGAGTTCGATCTTGACGAAAATCGATCATTGTTGTTATCTCAGTGGGCAGATTTTTGTAAAGCCTTACTTGTGGAAGCAAAGTTGTACCACAAGGGCTATACACCATCCCTGCAAGAGTATCTAGACAATGGGTGGATTTCATAGTCTGGCCCCTTGCTTTCTCTTCATGCACTTCTTTCTTTTACACAAGAGGTCACAAAGGAGGTCACAGATGTTCTAGAAAATGGTCATGACCTTGTGTACTATGCATCACTCATAATTCGACTTTGCTATGACCTTGGGACCTCATCGGTAATTATTCTTCTTGAAATTAAGGTTTTCAATATAAATAAATCATGTTAATTTTAAAAAGGAAACTTAGACCGATTTTCCCTAGATACCTGTACTTTACATGTTTTATGTGACTGAACACACACACACATATATATATATTTGAACAGGCTGAGGTAGAGAGAGGTGACGCGCCTTCTTCGATTTTATGTTTCATGCGAGAAGCTAATGTTCCTGAGGTGACAGCGCAGAAGCACATTAAAGACATAATAGGGTTAAAGTATACTGAGTCACTGGAACCATTTTTAAAGTATACTACCAACACAGCACGAGTGGCGAATTTCATCTACCAAAATGGAGATGGATTTGGTGTTCAAGACCGCGAAACTCGGGAGCATGTCCTGGCTCTACTCATTGAAGCTCTCCCACTCAAAGACATGTCGAGGAGTGCTTGTTAGTTTAAACTAGTCCCAATAATATAAAGGATATGAATTCAGTGCATGATCAGTTCTCCATTACAAAGTGTGCTTTACCTTGGTATCTGAGTGTTTAGTGAGAAGCTATAGATATGTGTGTGCGCGCGTGTGTGTGTTTTCTCCACTGTAAGGAGGAAAGGTTGTTGGAATTTAGGTGATGGGTATGTAAAGTTATTCTACTGGTATGGGATGATATATTTAGTGTTTACTGTGGACTCGTCACTAATGGTAATTCATGTAATTTAATTAGTCAATCAATTTGTGAGACAAAGAAAAGTCCCATGACTCTAGTCATAATCATTGCACTAAATTTTGTACGATTCTAATTTTAATGGATATATTTAATCATTAAGCTCTCACGCAATATATTACAGTACATCTAATTTAAGAAAAATTTAATTAAGCCGGTTGTACATTATGTCCTCGTCAAAATTCTCCTTCAATAATATCATATTTTACCATATCTAAGTATACAACTAAATTTTGTATGGAAGAGTATCCTCCCCTTTATAGAAAAAGATCAAACAATTGTGAATGTGAATTTTCTGCTCAGCTTTACAGAGGCTTGGGATGGGACTCACGTTTTTTTCCTGAGTGTCTTATGAAAAATTCAAGTTCTCCACGTTTTTTTTACTGGCGGCGAGAAAGTCACTGGTCTGTCATTGAGCTGCAGGATCAGGTGATAAACCCATGACATCTTTGACTTTTTGTAATCTGTCATTGGAGTGATATCTTTGACTTTTGGTAATCTGCCGCGGAACTTTGTGGGTGAGAAGGTTATTCTTTTATATAAACTTTTAAAAAAAAAAAAAAAAAAACCTTTGTCTGTCAGAAAAAATTATTTAATTGTCTAACACAATCAAAACTAATGTTCCGACTGTAATATATTAATGCACTTTCATGAATTCAATTTTTTATAAATTGAGAGTATGAAATTGACCGGATCATCAAGTATCAGGCAACTATTTAATAATTTCTTAGGACCAAAAAAAGGGACACAATACTTTTAGCGTTCATTTAAGATTATGTTCATAAAGTTATAAGAGTTGGAATTTAGATTTTCATCAGTATTTTTCATTCAGCTTGTTACGTTTCATATATATATATATGTGTGTGTAGTCATGCACGAATTTATTATAAGAGAAAAATTTCGCTGCACTTTTAATATTTCGTTATGACATTAATCTTGTATTCTATCACATAAGTAAAATAATTTATTTTTGTGAGGCATATCATTATGTGTTAATGTCTA